CGGGTAAGTGGGGGTTGCCCTGTTCCTTTTCTGATTTGCTAACCTACCATGACATAATTTGTGATATAATAGGTAGGAAAGGAAAGTTTTGTATCATCAAATCCTGCTTCCAGAAACGTATCTGGAGTTACAGGATGTGTTTCTGTTGCTGGAAGTGAGATGTTGTAGTTGATAAATGTCCAGTAAACTGAATACACCTAAATATTGTAGCTGTTTCTTATGAGAGTTGAAGCACCTTGCCTAAGATGAGGGTAGTGTTAAGAAAACAAGATGACTTAGGGATTCATAAAATTATGAATACCATGAAGAAAATAGGTAGAAAAATATCATAATAAAAACTTGCATAATATACAACAGAGGCCCCCTTCAAGCAGCTGCTTGCTCCATATCCCAACAGGCCAGCAAAACAAACCACAGCACTAACTGGAGGATTTCCATGTTTCTTTGCCTGTCCCACCTTCTTAAAAAGTCCCACAAGCCTGCTGACAGGCAGAAAAATGCGTGGCAGGCAATTCCTGTGGCTTCTTCCACTATTTCAACACACATGTTTTTTAAAAAGCCTCTCAAGAAACTGCCTGTGAAATGCTCCACATGGCTGACAGGCAGCTAACAGGTGAATTCTGTGAATATTCACATGATTGTATTTCCATATGAGAAAACGCTTCACCTGTTGAATTTCTGCCTGCCATACAGCTGTCAAAGAATCCTGTTTTCCCCTAATGCCAGCCCTAAACCAAAGCATAGGTTGCCATGCTATACCCACTTACCAGGGATTTAGTCCCATTTAAAACAAGTATACTTAGGAGAAGACATGCATACCATTGTACTATAAGTCCCCACCTGTACTACACCCCCAAATAATCGTGGGAACTGTTTGTTTGTTAAGAGTGTTGAGAGTTGGTAGGAGGCTTCTGTTCTCTTTGCGGAGCTCCAGTTGCCACAGTTCCTTGGGAAGAGGCAGTGGCGGCTGAAGCACTCTGGAATATTCTTTGTGGTATGAGACAGTGAATTACTAATGAACGCCTCTTCCTTAGCCCCTGCAGAGCCAGAGGCATGCCCAAACCTTCTCCCAAATTGTTTTTCATTTGTCCATTTTGGGGAAGAGGGATTCTTTAACACCCACCTGTACTTACTTTGTAGCAGTATTTGGAGAAAATAACTTTTAGGGACAACCTGATCTCAGATGAACTCACCACAGGAAAGATGCATTCTATTTGCTAGGAGAAAAGGAAGGGGAAACGACAGAGATTTTGAAGACTGCGAAATACAGGGGAAACAGAAAAAGCACACTAAAGAGAAGGTGGAAAGAGCAGCTGTTTAAGACACCAGGGCTTCCTATTTCCTGGTGTCCAAAAAAGTCACTCATCAGT